ATATACATATACATATACATATACATATACATATACATATACATATATATATAGTAATCCATTCATCTGCTGGTGGACAACTAGGATGATTCCAAAACTCGGCTATAGTAAGTACCTGGTGCATTATTTTGGACAACATGGAATTAAGAGTTACCTTATCCATTATCCATAAGCCAAGTTTACAAGTCAGCCATCATAGTACCTATCTTTTCTGCACTACTTTGGTAGCTGGAGCGCCATTGTGAAGGGATGGACACGCCTCACCTCACACAGCTCCTAGCAGAAGCATAGTGAGTCAGGCCCCAGCCTTAGCATCTGTACCTAGGAGTGCAGCTCACCCCTGCCGGCTGAGAACCCGCCACGTTCTCGGGTTACTGCTCAGTGTTCATGCCCCTTACCTCAGGTGTCCCAAGCTGTAGAACCGGGACTCCCCGTCGGTGGAGCGGACCACCTGCAGCGTGAACATGGGCTGCAGCTGCCGCAGCTCCAGCAGGACGATGGCAAGGTAGTGGATGAAGAGTAGCGCGTCCACGAGGGAGACTGCGTACTGCACTATGTCCTTGTAGTTTGGGTCCCGAGAGTCCAAGATGCGGACCCCATAAAAAAGCCAGTAAGAAACCACGAAAAGAAAGATGAGGACCAGCAGCAGGGCTCGGAACACGAACACCCGCGGCACATCCGCTCTTTGCCTGCGGAAGAAAAGTGCCCAGGTCCCGATGAGCAGGATAAGCAGCTTGAACGATACAGAGATGAGCAGTCCCTCACAGATGGCGCCACAGGGTTTCAGCTCCTCCCTCCACAGGATCTGGGGTAGCAGGATGAAGGCAATGGGGGTGAGGAAGACGAGAAGTCCAAGGAACGAGGCGACGGTGAGGCCCAGGTAGCGCTTGCAGTCCAGCCCCACGCTGTCCTCCATGTCCTTGCTAATCCTGGCAATGTCCTCTTGGGATATACTGTGCTCCGAGGTGCCTGTGATGGCTGTGGTGGTCTCTCCCCAGTTGTCATCCTGATGACAGGGAAGACGGCCATTTATAAAAGCCACAACAAAATAAAAAGAATTCAGTCACCCAACTTTTTCAAAACATGGAAATAGGATTCGTTTGCAGTGCAGGGACATTTTTAACTTGAGCATTTTTCCTTGAAATTTTCAAAATGTATTCTACAGTTGCCCTTTGAACACAGACAACACAATTTAACCTTTGAATTTTTTGTTTGTTTGTTTGTTCGAAGATTCGTTACTATGATACATTGTCAGCCCTTGTACTGAAAAGGCCAGGAGTCTGGGCCTTTCTCCTCCAACGTGAGTAGCAGTTTTTAGACTCCCCTATGCTGACTCCACTACAAAACACCCTCTCTTACACCAGGAAACCTCTCTCATGCTAAGTTCTAGGCTTACAAAGTGAAAATCTAGACCCTTCGGTGGCTCAGCAGAGCAGAGGGCATAAAAGAATTCCTATCACACGAAGGCAAACCCATCCACACCTGAACCCTACATTATCTAAATTTCTGTATGACATTAATAGGACTCACTTCAGTAAGGAGCAGCATTAGGAATTCTTTGACATCATTTCTCACTGACTACAGAAAATTCAAAGTTCTGTCTATGGCCAGAACAGCTCAAAAATTCTTTCTAAACAGGTTTCCATGAAAAACTGAATGGGAGCACGGGAATATCAGGGCTATTATATTTTTAACTCCATTACTTTCTCTTTTAAAGTTTCTAGGTTGTTGCTGATGGGGTCACTCAGTCAGTTCTTTCAACAAGAGTCTGTTGCTAGGCTGTCAAACATTTCTGCTGTTTCACTGGAAACTTGGACTCCGACTCAGAGCACAGCAGAGCCAGGATGTGCCAGAAACCATCTGTATGATTTAACTAGGAAAAACTGTCACACATAGTATCAAAGTGGTGGCATGAAGACATCGGCTTATGATACATGGGGTTTCAGTTCACAGATAAAACAGCAACACAGATCGCTCATAACCAAAGAAACCACAACCACGTTTGTACCATATGAAGACCCTTGCCGTGAATGTGTGGATTTGTGTGTTTAATTTGGAAACGGTGAGAAGCTAAGGGTAGACCCCTGTGAGAAGTTATTAGGAGGAGTGACTACGATCAAAATATACATATAGGCATGAAATTCTCAAAGGATTAATAAAAACATTATATTTCATTTTTAAAAGATCCAGGCAAAGAAGTAATGTTTATCACTAAAAAAAAAATTAATAATAATTCATGATTGCATGAGCATTAACGGGGGTGGGTAGTAAAGATTTCAGCTTAGGAACACAGAGGCCATCAACTAGGAAAGTCATAGTATCACAGATCATGAGAGAAATGATCACAGACAATGGTTAGAAGCAGCCAGGTCCCTCAGTGTTTTATATATGCCGGGCGTGATGGTACACTCCTGTAATCCCAGCACTCTGGGAGGCAGAGACAGGTGGATCTCTGTGAGTTTGAGGCCAGGACTGGTCTACAAAGTGAGTCCAGGACAGTCAAGGCCACACAGAGAAACCCTGTCTCAGATAAACAAAACAAAAAGAAAAAAAGAAAAGAAAACTGGCCTGACACTTCCACAGTGATTTAGATATGCATTAACTGTATGGTCTAGAAACTCGACTCCTAGGTGGCACGAAAAGTTAATGGAACTATATCCACAAAATACCTATACAAATATTCACAGGAGTTTAATCCATCATAGTTAGAATGTGTGCACCTCAAATGTCCACCCACCAGGGGGACAGAGACCAAACTGTGGTCAATTCAACGGAACACTTAGTCAGCAAAAATAACAAAGAGTGAACTGTTGAAGCACATAGAAGATGGATAAATATCAAAATCATCATGCTGACTGGGGAAAAACTCATATGATTCCAATTATATTTAACTCTACAACAAGCAAAACCCAATCCACTGAGATGGAAATCAAAATAGCAGTTGCCCTGGAGAGGTGGAGTTGGGGGTAGGAACTGGCTAGGAAGAGCCAGGAGAATTCTTTGTGCTGAGGGTGTGGGTTCATCTGTTAAAACTTATCAAAGATTACCCTTGAGAACTACTTCATTTCTGTGTGAAATTTAGGCCAGTTTAAGAAGACAAACCACAAAGACATACAACTTGCTTTTAATATGGTACGAATTCACAGGCTATAGAAAACAGTTGGCTTTGCAGTAAGAGTTCCAGAGAAGACAAAGGCTGGTTTCTGCATTTGTGATTGATATCCCTGCTGAGATAACCATTACTAATATCATGTGGACATCCTGTTGTGTAATACCACTGCTCTGACTCAGCTGTACATCCAACTTCCTGCCAGGGAGTTGCTAATGAAATCCCTGCTCATTTTAAGAACCTATGCACATCTCAGTCTAAAAAAGTGTATCTCTACAAAGGCTTCTCTCAACTTTGAGGTCTTGGGAGGAGGGGATGGATCTGAACGTGAGCAATCTAATCCCCTAGATTCTCAGAAGCTGAGGCCAACAAAAGTTTAGTTCCTCAAGTTAATGGGCTGCTGAGACACAGGACCTCCAAAAGGCCTTCTCATCACACCATCCCGCCATAAACACCAACAACTTCCCGGGGAACTCAGGGTACAAAGATGGAAATGTCTTCACAGTGGTTACTAGCACCCCAGAATACACTTCTAGGAGGAAACTGAGCTGTGAAGCTTTTAAGAATGATCCAGTCCTAAGACTAAACACATCCATCCCCAATCCATCCATCCATCCATCATCCATCCATCCATCATCCATCCATCCATCATCCATTCATCATCCATCCATCCATCCATCATCCATATTTGCTCACTTCTGAACAAACCCCACATTCAGTGGGGAAGCATAGTTATGCATCCTGATGGCATCTGCATCCTTGCAGGGATTGTAGTTCCAGTCTTCCTATCTGATTATAAATGCCGCCTGTACCTACAGGCACCTACAGGTGTACACAATACATGCTTATCTCTACTCCCGTATCTTTACAGCTGTGTATTCATACAATGCTTTGTTTATGTGAGGCAAAGCTGGGCATGCAACATTTCAGGAGATGGGGGGTGGTTCAAACATACTTCTGCATATAACTCATAAGTTTATTTAAATCGACAACGAGGCTGCCAGACAGTTGGGACTCAAAGATGACCCCACACGAGTTTTTAAGTAACAAAGTACTGATATTTAAAATTGATTGACTTCATATAAAGTCTTAATGCGAATATTGCTCAAATATGCAAGGCCTAACAATCGAAATTCCTGCAGTCCTGGTGCAGTCCTGCAGTCTGGTCCAGAGAAGCCGCTAGAATTTGACAGAGGAAACTCATTCTCTAGATTTGTCCCAGCCCCAACCCATGGCCTTAACACAGAGTACCCCAAAGACCACCACTGCTAACCCCAAAGTTTGCAGGACGCATTTCTGATTTTTTTGACTCAGTATTATCTCATTCACCCAGATTTCTATGCTTGCCATCTGAATGCCAAGGCCTTGATTCCTTTCATATACCTGGTTTCTGGACTGTCTCTTCAAGTCAATGTCAAGCATTCCTTAGTTTGTTTGTTTGTTTGTTTGTTTGTTTGTTTGTTTGTTTGTTTGTTT